TGCTCCTTTTCCTAATTGGTAAAGTATAGTCCTAAAGTTTCTTTTTCTTCTGTACCAACTTTTGTAAATTAGTCTGAAAATGATGCCTCAAATACTCCTAATACGGATGGTCCAAAACTTCGTAAAAGCAGTTCAACAAAAGCCACTTTTTTTTACTCTTTCTAATGGATTAAGAATTACTAAATTTTTTGCTAATGGTTCAGTATTTGATGAACCATAATTTCCAAATTCTATTCCAAAAAACAAATCGAGGACTTAGTATACCAACAGTAGTTATGGATACTAAATCCTTTGAAGCATCATTATGTTGAGGATAAGCATAATTTTTTTGAAGTTGAAAATTTTAAAACAGGATAAACGTCTGCACGTTCCAAAGAAGTAGAACCTCTGTTACTTAAATTGAAACTAGTTTTAAGAAATTTAAAATTACAATATTGAATATATTCCAAATATTATTGAATTTGGATTCAATAAAAATTCAATGATAATTGAATAAAAATTCTCTCCGTATAGAAACATTGATTAACAGTTGCCACAGTCGATAATTGAATAAAAGTGAATAATCCGCACATGTGCACTCATCGTAAATGGTATATAGAATCTCGTCTATAAATCTTGATACGATGTATTTTCCGAAGCTACCTCAACATTCTCTCTACTATGATGTTTACTTTTGTTTGGGAAGTTGATGTTTTTGCTGCTGTTTGGAAAATCAGAAGTCTAAGATAAATCTGTTGAAATGGAAGAGAGGGAGTGTGTATAGTATAGTGAATTCTTGGAATAGGTGTGAGGAAGATGTATCATGGTTGCGATGGCAATGCACTTTCAACAAGACCAGGCGTTATAGTATTACGTCGCTAAGCGACGACACAGGTATTCGCTGTACTCACATACGTTCTCGTATACCTATCCGGCTTTTATGAGACTCCCGAGAACGTTGTCGTGTCTGCTTTGCCAAGCACGACGTGCAAAACGATCGATAATACGCTCGTAACGTTATTACCGGCAAGTAGGCAGGCAAGCAGGTAACATCGCTACCGGTCATAATGCGACTTTTACGGTTCGCTTCAACGCCCATCACGACGATGTTCCAGTTCGGTCGGTGGAATTCCCCCGCCTATCTTGGCACAAACCTGGCTGTGTCTTTTTTCTCTTTCTTTCCTCTATTCTCTCTCTTTTTCTCTTCTTCTCTCTTTCTCTCCCTTCTTTCCTCTATTCTCTCCCTTTTTCTCTTCTTCTCTCTTTCTCTCCCTTCTTTCTTCTATTCTCTCTCTTTTTCTCTCTTTTTTCCTCTATTCTCTCCCTTTTTTTCTCTATTCTCTTTCTTTTTTTCTCTTTCTCTTCTTCTTTCTTTTCCTCCTTTTTTCTCTTTTTCTCTACTCTCCCTCTCCGTTTTTCTTCTCCATCCACTGCCCCCTCTGTTTGGCAACTGTTCTTGGCCTTTTAAAGAACATCGTAATATCCATTGCCACAGTTTCATGCGCTCAAACCTCTTAAGTGCCTGGCTTCCAACTTCCTGCCAATCGGATCATTCACTGGAAAAAAAGGAGAATGGAACATCAACCATAAACTAAAATAACCATTTTAGCTCTCAACCATTTGAAGCTTTTTCTTTTTCTTTTAAACGCAATTTTCTAACTTGGAAACTTTTTGATCGTCGATTTTTTTTTTTCATAATGGAAAAGTATCGAAATTTCAGTAGGCCTCGGATATTATGATGTTTTGTTTTCTTTTTTCAACTACTTTTCAAAAATTACGACTTTTTCAACTTCTCTTCTTAAATATTGCAACAAAATACCGCACATTTTTAGTATAAAAATTGTAAATTATTTCGCGGCCTGAAATTTGATAAAAAAAAATGGATCTTTCTGGTACCAAATTGATAACAAATTTAATACCAATTCGATTTAATTTTGTACCAATTGTGGAAACATTTATTAGCAAATGAAATAATCGAATTGTTAATGTCAATGCATTTGGTACCAAATTCAGTACCAATTTGATTTAATTTGGTACCAAATGTGAATACATTTGGTACTTAAATCGAATTGTTAATGTGGATACATTTGGTACCAAATTCAGAACCAATTTGATTTAATTTGGTACCAAATTCAGAACCAATTTTATTTAATTTAGTACCAAATGTGGATACATTTGGTACCAAATTCAGTACCAATTTGATTTAATTTGGTACCAAATGTGAATACATTTGGTACTTAAATCGAATTGTTAATGTGGATACATTTGGTACCAAATTCAGAACCAATTTTATTTAATTTAGTTCCAAATGTGGATACATTTGGTACCAAATTCAGTACCAATTCGATTTAATTTGGTACCAAATTAAATCGGAATTGTTAATGTGAATACATTTGGTACCAAATTCAAAACCAATTCGATTTAATTATAGGTACCATGGTACCAAATGTGGAAACATTTGGTATCAAATTAAATCGAATTGTTAATGTGGATGAATTTGGTACCAAATTAAATCGAATTGGTAATGTGGATACATTTGGTACTAAATTAAATCGACTTGATAATGTGACTATACATTTGGTACCAAATTGAAACGAATTCGTACTGAATTAAATCGAATCCGGTACCAAATTGATGCGAAAATTAATATTATCATTTTGTTTCGAAAAATAACAGAAGTAATCACTTTTCCCCGAATTTTAAGGAGTGCACAGTGCACTTTATTTTTTATTGTATTACATTCTTTTTTTTTTTTTGTTTTTTTGCTTCTTTTTTGTTTTTTTCTTCTTTTCAGTTTTTTTGGTTCTTTTTTGTTTTTTTCCCTTCTTTTATTTCACTTAAACGTGCTTCCTTTGTTTGGATAAGTTGGCAATTTCTGATATATACACGAAACGAAGGAGAAAGGGGTTGGCGATCGTAGATAGGAATTCGAGTCTCGTTGCACGATTTCCGTTATTTATGCGGCGAATGTACTAAATATTGCCAACGTTCTAAATCACACGAGGCTAGAGTATAAACTTCCCAAGCCGCGAGATCCGACGATTATTTACACTGGCGGTGAATGCTTGCCAATTTCAAGACATGAAAATAGACCGCGTGGGTGTGTATACATGTATACAGTTAGCAGCCAAGATTACTGACCGGTAAATGAACACTTTCTGCAAACATTAACTTTAATGGAACAATTAGTTTTTAGCATTTTCAGAAGTATTATTGCATTTTGCAATGATGATGTTAACAATTTTTGGTTTCTTGCAATTTTTCTTGAGAACTTCCTTAACTTTGTTCTATTTTCTGACTCATTTTGCTTTTCTTTCTATTTTTCTTCTTTTTTTCTCGATCTTCCTGTTCCTCTTCTTGTTTTTGTTCCGTTTCTTGTTCTTGTTCTTCTTCTTGTTTCTTTTCTTGATCGTCATCCTATTCTTCTTCTTATTCTTGTTCTTATTCTTGTTCTTGTTCTTGTTCTTGTTCTTGTTCTTGTTCTTGTTCTTGTTCTTGTTCTTGTTCTTGTTCTTGTTCTTGTTCTTGTTCTTGTTCTTGTTCTTGTTCTTGTTCTTGTTCCAATTCTTGTTCTTCTTGTTCCTGCTCTTATATTTGTTCTCGTTTCTTTTCTTGTTCTTGTTCCAATTATTGTCCTCTTTCTTGTTCCTATTCTTGTTCTTCTTCTTGTTCGTTTTCTTGTTCGTTTTCTTGTTCTTGTTGTTCCTGTTTCTCTTTTTGTTCTTGTTCCTTTTCTTGTTCCTGTTTCTCTTTTTGTTCTTGTGCCTATTCTTGTTCTCGTTCCTTTTCTTGTTCTTGTTCCTGTTCTTGTTTTTTATTCTTGTTCTTGTTACTATTCTTGTTCTTGTTCCTATTCTTGTTCCTTTTCTTGTTCTTCTTCTTGTTCCTTGTTCCTATTCTTGTTCCTTTTCTTGTTCTTCTTCTTGTTCCTATTCTTGTTCTTCTTGTTGCTTTTATTGCTCTTGTTCCAATTTTTTTTCTTCTTCTTGTTCTTTTTCTTGTTCTTGTTCCAGTTTCTGTTCTTCTTCTTATTTTACAATTGAAAATTATTGCCAATCACAGAAAGGTGACTTTTGCCGTTAAGTATATTCATGTCATTAAGAATATTAATAAAGAGAGAATTAAATTATAAAATTTTTTCATTGTAATCCACATGAGTCGTTATGCGAAACATTTTGGAATAAAGGAAATGACCTATTACTTGAACAGGGGAATTTTATTACCTCAGTTTCATGGTTTTTGCCTTTCCACACACATGTTGCGTGCAAGCGATCGTTTCGTACTACCTTTCTGCTTATACAGCCACTTTCAGGAAACGGGAATACACAAATAAAAAAAAGAAAAAAGAAACAAAATCGGTGTTGGCGCATAAATATTCATCACATATAACCTGAGTCATCTGTTTTATTTTGATTAACAAGCTTCTGTCTTATTAATAATTATTTATTATTACATAGCATACGATAATTAGCATACTACTACTTTCTTTACACATCTAGTTTAAAAATGTAGATAAATTTTATTTTTAAAACAGTTATATTAACACTTTACTGTATTTGAAAATTTTTATTTAACTATTAAATTATTGTAACTATCTTGTAGTGTATATTTAAAAATACATTGATTGACTCAAAATTCAATCACTTTTACCATATTTATAAAAAGTTATTCATATATTTCTATGATTTTTATCTCTATGAGGAAGTAAAGTGTTCATGAAATGAGCACCAAAATTATAAAAAAAATATACCTACAACTTGTTTTTGTTTATTTTTTATTTTTATTTATTTACCCATTTTTTTTCGTTTCAATTTTTCTTTCCGTATATCAATATAGAAGAAAAATGCAACTCGTATTATTATTATAGAAACAAAATGTTGTTGTAAAAAGAAACAATTCGATTTTCTCGCATTTTTTTCGAAATATCCATTTTTCGTTTACTATTTTGTACAATTCGTTCTATGCACATATATATATATATAAAACTTTGCCAATTGAATTTTCTTTCTTTTCTGTTGCAGGTCCCTCCACAGCATGGGCAACCGTTTAAATTTTCAGTAACCGAGTCCTGTGATCAAATAAAGCAAGAATTCAATTTTCTTCAAACCCAATATCACAAGTGAGTCACTCTTTTTATTATTTATATTTTTGCAATTTTATTTAAGCAATAAGTTATTGGTATTTTGTAAATAAATTTGAAATTTAAATCAAATTTTTGTTGTTTTTTACTAAAAATGACTACTTTTTGTTAATTTTACTCCAGGATGAATTTCTATTTTTCTATTTTATTACTTTATAAAATAGAAAAAAAATTTTAATTCACTAAAATTCCAGATAAAATCGTTATAATAATTATTATATTGTATAAATCTATTTTATACAATATAATTTCTTTATATATATTTATATAATATAATATGTTGCGGTTAGCGATTATTTTGTATATACGATATACACTTGAATGACCATCGGGTACCTACATTTAACGTTTCGCTGTCATTGCTTAATAGATATCCTAATGCCTCCGCAACGTTTACGCGTAAAACTATATGGGTAGACATTTTGCAGAACGAAGCTATACTCGTAAAAATATTATTGCTTCAGGTAATAAGTGACTGGTAAAATTTCACCATAACTGTATTTTCTTATGTTCGGTCACAAACACGAGGAGCGAATATAATAAATTTACATATATAAATATAAATAAAAAATATGTATAAATAATAATTTTATAATTACTGGCTAAAATTTCAAATATAATTGAATGTTTCTCAAAATTTAATTCTTATAAAGAATTTATTAATTTTTTAAAAAATAATTCAATTTCTTAGAAGAATTTTATATTATTTATGTAAAGAATTGAATTTTTACGAACAATTTTATTTAATTTTTTTTTTTTTAAATAATTGAATTGAATTGAATTGAATTGATGAAAAGCATTTTACTTATGTATATTGTTACACATAGAAACTTTTTTTTGAATAAATAAAATAAAATAATTATATATATATTTATATCTATATAATATAGATATAAGATAAATATCTGTATTAATAGACAGAGAATAGAATAGAGAGAGAGAGAGAGAGAGATACATAACTAAAAATAGTTATATATGCAGTATACATAGTTATAAAATATAAATACATAAAACCTAGAATGGGAACATATATTTTTTTTTTTAATAAATAACTGAAACAGTAAAAGAAAATTCATAAAATCGAGTTATCATTTATTTACTCGTTACATAAATGTTGCAAGTGAGAGAGAATAGATATGAAGTGTTGACCTTTGTATTTTAATTATCTTAAGTAGGTTAATACCTTTTCTTCACAATATCTTGTGGAGTTTAACGAGACAATAAATTTTCTTCCATGGTAGAATGGGTAAATATCAAGTGTTTAGTTAAAGAGTTAACTAGTCAGTTATACAGAAGATTATTTGTCTGATTCGAATAATACACGTTACTATAAACATATATATATATATACACATTTACATATAAATATATATTCACATCCCTCGAGGCTTTCAGATTATAATTTGTAATATATAATACCAAACTGATAATTTGTATACTTAATCATTCCGCAATAAAAGACATTTTAAAATAGTTAATCAAAATATAGATAATGATAATAAATTTTATTAGTGGATTATTTTAAAATGTCGTTTTTTCGTTTTTTTATAATTTATTATTATTATAAAAAATTTTTTTTTATTTATTTTTTTTTTTAATTTTATTTTTATTCAAACTGAAAGATTTAAAATTACAAGTTTCGAAATTTAATTTTTTGGTGATTGAAGATTAGAAACAGAAAAATTGAATTATGTATTATTTTTCATGTTCTTTTTTGAAGTAAAAATATTCATCGTTGAAAATAATGTCTTGTAAATGTTAAAGAAGTACTTATTAAATTCTATGTTAGTGTGATAACGCGGACCTAACTGACTTAGAAACCTTTTTGCGGTCAAGCATGTGTTTTATAATATTAACACGGAATTACTGTTCATATATATATATATAACTATTTTACTGACAACTTACTTCTTGTATTTTCAGTCAACTTAGATTAATGAAATTAATTGAAAAAAAAATAATAAAAGAAAAACATTTTTAAAAATTATTTATTCAAAAGTCAATATTTAAAATAATTAAATTAGTTAAAATGATAATTTATTATTATATAATAGTTTTTTTAAAAAAACAAATTAATGTTTTAATTAAAAAATTTATACATTGAAAAAAAAATGTTTAAACTAAAAAATTTAAAAAATTTTTTTAAAATACTTTTTTCTTAAATAAATAATAGCAGGTGTGACGTAGAAATCATAGTCTAGAAATGAGCATTAGACGATTTTCTTGGTGTGTTAATTTATGAGAAGGTCCTTAATGTGTTAATTCGAGAAGTCACGTGCTGTACAACGACGGAAACTTAAATTACTGTTTCGTGTCGCCGGCCTCGGGGCTGTGTACAATGTGCATACATATATATATATACATAAACATGTGCGCATACGTTAAGGTAGATACGTTCTCTAACTTGCTGATATCAACACAAGTGTACATACGCAAGGACGGAGGTTAAGTCAAGTTTTAATGGATTGTAAGTTGCACGAAACTTATTTACATGTACAATATTCAACATAATATATACATATAGATAGATATATAAAATGTTAAACTGTATCGCGAACGAGAAACATACATTTATTTTTTATATTTGCGAAAAATGAAAAATTATCAGTCCCCTTATTCAAGTGGAATTAATTTTTTATATCTTCCCATTAGAATTTTAAGATTAACATTCACTTTTTTTTAAATCTTGACATTATGGACAATTTTGGGACCTGGCATCGTGTTCAGAGGGTAAAAATACATTGAAAACGAGTACAATATCGAAAATAAGGAGAAAAATTTTTTTTTGGGTGTTTACCCCCACTTTTTTCAAAAAACGGACGTTTTAAGCGTATTTTGGAACTTGAATTGTGTCCAGCGGATAAAAAATAATTAGAAACCAAACTCCGATAACAAAAATAACAGAAAAAAAAATTTTTAGCTCGAATTTTCTCAAAATTTGCAATTTTTTGGAATGTTTACTCCCACTTTTCTCAAAATACAGAAGTGCTAGATAATTTTAGAACCCAAGATCGTGTTTAGCGGACAAAAATACATTGAAAATCACTCCCATATCAAAAATAAGAAGAGAAAATTTTTTTCGGGTTTTTACCCCCACTTTTTTCAAAAATCTGCCGTTTTTGGCAAATTTGCGACCTGAGATCTTTTTTAGTTGATAGAAAAGCATTTAAAATGATTCTGATGACAAAAATAAGTTGAAAAAAGTATTTTTACCTTCACTTTTCTCAAAAATTCTCTTTTTTGGGTCTTTAGCCCAACTTTTCTCAGAAATTCTCAAATTTTTTAGTCTTTACCTCCACTTTTTTTCAAAATTCTGTCGTGTTAGATAATCCTAGAATCCGAGATCGTGTTTAGTTGGCAAAAATACATTGAAAATCACTCCCATATCAAAAATAGGAAGAGAAATTTTTTTAGGGTTTTTACCCCCACTTTTTTTTAAATTCTCAAATTTTCGTCCACGTTTCTCAAAACGCTGACTTTATAGATTATTTTAGAACCCGAGATAGTGTTTAGCGAGCAAGAAAAACATTGAAAACTAGTCCAATATCAAAAATGCTTGAAAAAGAAATTTTTTTTGGTCCTTACCCCCTTTTTCAAAAATACGAAAACATTTGCCACTTGCAGCAAGCTTGCAGTGCAATTTTCTCAAACTTACCACTTAATTGGGTGAAAATTTTTATTGAAGAATTATGTGACTCTAAAAGAAAAAAGAGAACAACGAATGATTAGTGTTAAAGTAACGTGAACGATTTATAAATGATTGTCGTGTTCTAGGAAAAAGGAAAAATGTCGAGAGACTCATTTTTAAATTAAAAGACAGACACGTAGATGAGAAATGGGCGTAACACGCAAAATAATACAGTAGAAATGATGACACGCGATCATATGAACAATGTATGTGTATATGTACATAATACAATGTATATATGAGTGTTTTGCACGTATGTGTATGAGTATTCAGAAGCGAGTGTAATAATATTCATTGTCATATACACAAGAGCATGCGCGCGTGAATAGTGGCAATCATTATCGGTCATTATCAATGTCTGCCACGGCTGCACTGATTGTGCGTTTTAATGGCTCTACCATGTACCCTTTCGCTATGTTTGTTCTCAATTTTAGGTGTCGTTCGCGGTGTATATGAGATCTAGTTTGTTACTGGGGTTACTGGCGAAAATACCATATCTAGTTTGCTATTTTTTATGAACCTAAAAATTTTCAAACAATTGTTTGATTCTTGTCAATTTTCCTACTTTCTTCGACGCTTAGCCTAGATTCTAATATCAAAAACATATCTAGATCCCAGTTTCAGATTAAAACCATAATTGTTTTAAGAACGTTCCAAAATCGTTTTTAGAATGTTTCTTTGTCTGACAAATAATGTTCCAAAAACGTTCTATGTTTCTAAAAAGTTTTAAAAACAATGGAACGTTTTTGGGACATCAGTTTTGCCAGACATGAAGCGTTCTAAAAACGTTTTTGGAACGTTCTTAAAACAATGATGGATTTTTTACCTCTTTTGTGAAAAAGGACAAAAAAAGTTGTTTTGAAATCAAAAAGACAAGTTTATAATCTAAACAGCGGATTGTACTATGTAGAAATCTTGCTATAACATTAACTTTATAGCATTTTGATACAGATTTTAGAGAATTTGATGAATCATTAATTTTGTAAGTGCTTTCGCAGTAGTTAATGTTTCAGCAATTTTAGGATATAATCGTAAAGTAACGGATCTACTGTGAGGAATTAATGAAGCATTAAATCTAGAATTATATATATATGTATACGAAGAATTTGCATTTTGAGAAATTTGTATCTTTTGGCGACGATTTTTCAACTACTAATTTTAGAACTTTATCAATTTTTTGTGTATTGTCATTTCTGATATGCTGTACTTTAATGGGGAAAATACATTTGGTACCAAATTGATACCAAGTTCAGTACTAATTCGATTTAATTTGGTACCAAACGTGGAAACATTTGGTACCAAATTGAATTGAATTTAGGATGCGGTTACATTTGGTACCAAATTGATACCAAGTTCAGTACCAATTCGATTTAATTTGGTACCAAACGTGGAAACATTTGGTACCAAATTGAATCGAATTGGGGATGTGATTATATTTGGTACCAAATTGATACCAAGTTCAGTACCAATTCGATTTAATTTGGTACCAAACGTGGAAACATTTGGTACCAAATTGAATCGAATTGGGGATGTGATTATATTTGGTACCAAATTCAGTACCAATTTGATTTAATTTGGTACCAAATGTTTCCACGTTTGGTACCAAATTAAATCGAATTGGTAATGTGGATACATTTTGGTACCAAATTGAATGGAATAGTGGATGCGGTTACATTTGGTACCAAATTGATACCAAGTTCAGTGCCAATTCGATTTAATTTGGTACAAAACGTAAAAACATTTGGTACCAAATTGAATCGAATTGGGGATGTGATTATATTTGGTGCCAAATTGATACCAAGTTCAGTACTAATTGGATTAAACATTTGGTACCAAATTTAATCGAATTGAGGATGTGGTAACATTTGGTACCAAACTGATACCAAATTTAGTACCAATTCGATTAAATTTGGTACCAAATTGATACCAAATTAAGTACCAATTCGATTTAATTTAGTACCAAATGCGGATACATTTGGTACCAATAAATTAAGTCGAATTTAGGATGCGGTTACATTTGGTACCAAATTGATACCAAGTTCAGTAATAATTCGATTTAATTTGGTACCAAATGTGGAAACATTTGGTACCAAATCGACTGGAATCGAAGTGTGGTTACAGTTGATACCAAATTGATACCAAGTTCAGTACCATTTCGATTTAATTTGGTACCAAATGTGGGAACATTTGGTACCAAATTGAATCGAATTGAGGATTAAATACATTTTAATTTCCTCCTCCTTTATTAAAAATTAAAAATTTACTAATTAATGTTACTTCTTTTTTGTTTGTTGCAGTTTAAAATTGGAGCTTGAAAAGCTGGTTCAAGAAAAGACGGATCTACAGCGCCACTATGTTATGGTATGTGAAAATTTAATATAACTTTTATAAAAAGTATAAAATAACTTTTCTCCCCAGTCGATAAAACTTAAAACAGTCAATTACTTTTACAAGTGCAAGTCTGGTATATACATACAGTGAACTCGGATGAAAGTTCTAGTTGCATAATTAAAGTGCAGAAAACACGACATATAAACAGGTTGTTGTGAATTATTGCACGCTATACGGGATGTTAGTTATTATATGACTTCTGTTATATACATACATATATATAAATATGTATCTTGTACATATCTATATGTTGAAAATATACGTATAATAGTCAAATGTTTAGTTCATACATCATCATTATATACTTTGCTTCACATGTATCTTCATTATATACTATATATACATATATATCATGACAAATAAATAAATATATATAGTTTATAATATATATATATAGTATATAAAATTATGCTTATAAAATATATATATACCTATACATATATTTATTTATTTGCCATGAGTTATACTTATTTTGAGAAAATTTCTACCAAAGTGTATACATGGAAGTAGGTTGATCTTGCTGTAGAGCTTTTCAGAATTTACTCGAGTCAATGTGACCTCAATCACTTGTGTAACCTTTGTGTATACTAGAAGTTGAAAAGCATACCCAATTTTTATGGAACTTAAAAAGATTTCCAGCTTTTTCATTTTCTTGTATTTTATTTTACATTTTATATTTTTTTAATCTTGTATTTTTGTATTTTTATATTTTTAAACGTTTATATTTTTATTTAGGGGAACATAGTCAGGGTTGGTCCACCTTTTGAACTTTATTTATAACTTTTTGTAAAAAGGGTCCAACCCTGACTACAAGTTTTATTTTTGAGCCGCATGTGCAAAGTGTATTCAAAAGCATAGAGTAGAGAGAAAAAGAAGTTCTTAAAAATTTTTTGTAATTCAAAAGCAAATATAATTGGTAATAAAGTCTTGTTTTGAGTCCATATAGAGGTAGCACTCTGCTATATATGGTTTATTCAACAATAAATATACTGTTTATTTTTTACGGTTCAGAATTTTGTTCACAAAAGGCGTACAGTAACACCTGCTCAATCACCTTCAATTTTACTGTTACATAGAATGTTACGTGACACGTCTTGTATATATAAATAATAAATAATATACAAGCTATTCGAAACTGTTACTCCGTATAATACTTTCGCCGCATTTGAGTTGCACATATATTTCACGAGGATGTCACTCCATGACGCCTTATCTGTTTCTCTGATCGATTGTTTGCTCTTTACGAATGCATGAAAGAAAGAAAAAAAAGAAGAATATACTTTTAGTCAAGATTCTCGATCAGAAACGTACGTGCAAATATTTCAATGCGCAAAAGAAATAAGAGAGGGGTCTTTTAAAAATAAAAATTTAAGTTTTTTTTTTTATTTTTTCCTTTTGATTAATGCAACTGGATGAAAGAAAGAAGGTATTTGAATATGTTTATTATTTTCTTTTTATCTTGTTTTTGTTTTTGAATATCCACACTGTAAAAAATTTCTGAATTTTATCCGATAATATAAACGGTAATTTTTCCGAAATTAGGGGGAAATCAGTTTTTCCGAATATTGAATAGGAAATATTTCCGAAAGTAGGTGGAAAAATACTAGTCGCATAAAAACCGGAAATTATTCCTTTATTTTCGGCAAAGTATCCGAAGATCGCGGATTTTTTACCAGTTTTTCTGTAACAATTTCCAAAGTTAAATGGAAAAATAATTTTTCCGACAAAAGTCGGAAATTATTCCATAATTTTTTGTAAAGTTTCCAAAGATAGTGGATTTTTCACCAGTATTATTATGAAATATTTCTGAAGCGAAGTAAAAGAACAGTTCTCCCAATACTTAATTGGAAGTATTTCCAAAGTTAAGAGGAAATACACATTTTCCGAATATTTAGTAGGAAATATTTCTTCTTTCCTAATCTGAATTAGTAAAAAATTCAATTTTGAAAGCAAAAATCAGTAAAAATTGTCTGTTAAGTAATTATCGAATTTTGACTTTTTTAACCATTTGTTAAGTATATCAATAAATTATTTTTTTACATTTAATTTATAATTATTAGTCAACGTTTTTTTCACTAATTACTAAAGAAAAAAATCCGATATGTGTATTTATATACTACTCTTTAAATCTAAAAAAAGTGAAAATTTACTTAGAATACATCAAAAGTATTCCACGTAAGATAATAAGTATATATATATAATTAAAAATAAATGAAAAATCATTTATGAATTAGTCTACATGCACGTACTTTTTTACGTGAAAGACTTATGACGTAACTTTTCTAAGAGCATTTTCACTTACTTAAATTTGAAGAAAAATAATTAGTTTATTTTTACTGTTTTAAATTTAAAAACTGTTAAATAAGAAAAATAATTTTTCTATAAAAATGTGTCTGTGTATGCAGTAAATAGTTCTCAAATATTCCTCAAAAATCTAAATATATATATATCCTAAATTTAACGGAAATGTGAAAAAAAATGTTAACAATACTATGAATCGGTTGGTCAACAGTTTTAAAGAGATTGAACCTTTCGAAATTCCATAGAAGTTAGAAAGAACAGATTTTACTCCACATGTTTCTTAAAACTGATACTTTGCAGCAGATTCTCATAGCCTCCCTTGGTCGAGCGCGTCTAAGCGTGCGCTCCCAATGGTTGAAGGCTCCATTAAAAAAAACCCTACGCACAGACAGCACTATAAGGCTGACAGTTCAAATCGTGGTAGATAGATAAATAGATACTTCCGTAAAAATGTAAATAATAATTTTTTTTAAATTAATTTACATTTATTTTAATATATCAGAATGTAATATAAACAGTTTTGATTTTTTACATAAATATTCAAATGATTTAAGTAGAATTTCCGAATAAATAGTAGGAAATATTTTCGAAATTCATGGTAGATAATTCCTTTTATTTATTCGGAAAAATTTCCACCGTTTGGGGTTCCGTGCTGTCCGTATTTTTTCGGAAAAAATTCCGAAAAATTTTTTACAGTGCAAATAGAAGAAAATTTGAGCATGCAGAAAATTTAAATTGAATGAGATAAAAATTATATAAAAAATTGTAATCAATTTCTTTAAGATTCAATTATTTATTCAAAAAAATATTTTGAAATTCAATTATTTTCAATGTCTAGTATTTTCAGGAAAATTTCGCAAAAGAATTCAATTTATTTAGAAAAAAAATTAATAAAATTCATCCAAAATATTCAATTATTTTCATATAAATAATAAAATTTCCACAGAAATTCAATTAATTTAGAATAGCATTTACAAAAAAAATTGATAAACTTAATCCAAAATTCAATTATTTTCATAAATAATAAATTTAGAATAGCATTTTCAAAAAAATTTCAAAGAATCAATTATTTAACAAAATTTTTATACAATTTTCCACAATAATTCAATTACTTTCACTAATAATAACATTTTTCAAGGAAATTCAATTTTAAAAAAAAAAATTTTTGATAATATTCAAAGCAAGAATTCAATTATTTTCATAAATAATAAAACTCATCGAAGAATTTCAATTATTTTTAATACAATTTTAAATTAATTAATTGAAAAATTCAATTATTTTCACAAATAAAGTATTTCACAAGAATTCAATTATTTAAAATTAAATTTCCATATAATATTTATTATATTTCGAAAAAATTAATTATTTAAAATAATTTTTATAAAATTTTTTATGAAGAATTCAATTATTTTTAAAAAATAACAAAATTTTTCACAGAAATTCAATTCTCTTTAAACATTTTAATAACATTTTTTGCAATAATTCAATTAGTTTCATAAATAATAAAATTCTTCTTAGAAATTCAATTATTTTTAAAAACTTTAATTAAATTCTTTGCAACTATTCAATTATTTTCATAAATATAAAAATTCTTCTCAGGAATTCAATTATTTTTAATACAATTTTATAAGAATTGCTTAAAAAATGTAATTATTCTTAAAAATTTGATTTCAATTCCTCAAAAAAAAAAAATCAATTATTTAAAAAAAAATTGTTTCTTTTTTAAATTCTTTGGAAGAATTCAATTATTTACAGAAATATTAGAATTTTTCACAGGAATTCAATTATTTTTAAATATTTTAATAAAATTGTTCGAAAAAAATCAATTATTTTAAATACAATTTTAATTAAATTTTTTTTTTTTGAAATAATTCAATTATTCTTTCAAATTTTAGTAAAATTCTTCCCAAGAATTCAATTATTTACGTAAATAATTCTTCGAAAAAATTCAATTATTAAAGATAAATAACAAAATTATTGCCGAAAATTCAATGATATAAAACAAGTTTTTTTTTGTCGTCGCATGTTTAATTTTTCGATGGCAACTTTTTTACTACTTTTTTTTTGTAGTTTAAAAGCTACTTTTTGCTATTTTTTTAAAAAATTAATTAACGAGTGCAAAGTCTGAATAAATAATTTAAAGAAAAAAAAATTAGAAATAAGTAAATTATATAAGCTTATTCAATGAGGTGGAAAATAATATCCAAAAAGTAACTAATTGCAAATATTACCTTGCAATATTAGCAACATTGCCATGCAATATTAATTCCATATTTTGCTCAAATTCTTCTGCTTATTTGACTTTTCTTTTCCTCTCGGATTTATTTTCTTTTTTTATTTATACATAATATATACTTTTTCTCATTTTTCCGCTCGAAAAAATAGAAGAAGATAAGAAATGAAAAATGGACAAAAAACTTTTGTACAATAAGAAATTGTATTTTTCGTAAAACTTGTTCAAAAACTTGGATGATGGAAGATAATATAAAAACACATATTTTTTTTTTTTGAGAAAAAATAAAAAAAAGACTCATTGCACTTTTGTACACAAATATATCTTGATTTTAAGAAATGGTTTCTTGAATTTCTTGGGGAACAATGAAAAAGATTACAAATTTCAGAATAGGAAATGTGTATGTACGTATACATATATATAGAGAGAGAGAGAG